CAATATTTGCCGTGTGAAATCATTTCTAATCATCTATAATCGAATACGTTTAAAGAAAAAAAACAATTTTTCATAATTGCATTTAAATAATTCAAAAATAGTGTAATTTTCGGTTATAGAGGATTAGAAACTGTTATTTACAGAAAGTATCGATGATGAATGAATTATCGACCAGAGCTTACGAATTTCTACATTAATGATTATAAATTATGTATACATTGTGTTACAATGTTACATAATAATATATTATCCATTAATTTATTATCTACTTATTAATGGGGCCATGTTTGCTATTATTTATTAATTATTATTTATTAGCAGGGGCGTCATTTCAGTTTTTACTCAGGGTGTGCAAGATTTTAGGCAGTCCAATTTTAACATTTAATATTTAAACAATAACCACGCCGTTTAAACTATGTTAATATTATCTCTATCCATTTTATAATCCTAATTAAAATTACTCATATTAACTAAATATGTAGGTATATTTTTTAAATTTTCAAATAGCTAGCAGTTCAATGTATTAAAAGTAACTAAAACAAATAGTAACTAGCGGGGCCAACAGCAGCCATTTTACTACTTTTTGGAGAAATAAAAATCAAATGCGGTATAAAGGAATTTTTTCTAATAAATGTATTTAAAAAACTAAACACTATTCAATATTCATACAAAATAAAACATTGTTAATTATTTTTAAATTTAAGTCAGTGGATATCTACGGGTTCTGATATAATATTATGTAGGTATGCTATAATATATATGCTTACACCACTATTATAGCCGATACCAGCTGGCTGGCGCAAATCAGGTAGGTATCTTATCCAATGAAACACGATTATCAAATAGGGATACATTTTATGACAAAACTGATAAAAAAAAATAAATACATATTACATGCATGAATATTTTATGAATTTTTAATGGTAATCATATCGGCGTACAGGAGCATTAATGGATTGCCAATTATTTACTCTATTATGTTAGCGGCGCCTCGCACCCCCCCCCCCCAATGACGCCTCTGTTTATTAGTATTCGATACGATAAACCTACGATAACCTCGTACTTTTAAAAATGATGTTCTCAAGTTGATCACTGTAGAGTTTTATAACAAAAAATTTATTTTTATTCTTCACACACGCGAAATAGTTCACGAAAATAAATTCCATAAAATTCTAAAACCTCGATAATAACTGATATCCTGCACACCTACCCGTAATCGATAGATTGTAATTACGCGATAACTTTGTGCAGCTATTATCGTAAATACCGAACACCGAAAACGATACACCGTGCACGAAAATAATAATAAATAATAATAATTCCTCCTACTTACCTATTATATTATACAGTCGTTCTACACACATTATTATTATTACTATTATTATTATTACTATTATTATTATTATCGTGTACACGTTTTTCCCGTGCTCGTACCGTAATAATGTATTGTACGACAGTCTACGTAGGTACATATATTTTTTTTTTTATGATCGCCGCCCTCGTGATTTACATTGTTCGCGATTAGTTTCGGTGTCTGCGAGAGATTACAATAATATTATTTAAGGTACCTGCTAACCAGCTACAACTACCCAGTACCCACGGCAGTAAACTCTATGAATAATAATTATGGTGGTAACGCGATCGCACATTCGGTACGACAATATCGACTATACAGCTATTATAATAACAGTGGTATTATCATAGTTAGAGATGGACATAGGCGTGTCTACGGGTCATGCCTGTCATGCACAGGCATGACCTGCGAAATTTGGTCCAACTTTGGTACATTATAAATTGGGGTGCATAATATACACTTTTTTTTCTAAGTTTCTGATTTCGTATTAAGTTTTTGATTTTCATCACGTAAAAATAAACGTTTGTAAAAAGTATAATTAGTATTAAAATAATTATATTTTAAAATTAAGTACTAAATACAATTTCATAATATAACCTACCTAGTTATTATTTTATTCATCTCATAAAAAAATATCGTTTTTTATTCCTAATAAAAAAAGTAAAAGTAATTTCAAAATTTGGGGGTCATATTCCCAAATCTTGATCTAATTTTTTTTTTTTGGGGGGGGGGATGCAGTTTACTCCCCTGAATATGCCACTGTTGTGCACGACCTGCGGATGAGATCTGGACACGCCTATGGAGATGGAGAATTTACGTAAAAAAAAATATTGGTAAATTTACCAATAAGGTGGTATAAATGATAAAATAGCTAAATCTTATAGTGCCATTGTTATTTTTTACTATTACACATTAGTACAGATGTCTGATGTCCCCAAACTTTTCCTACTCGTGGCGCCCTTTTAGAACTGAAGTTTGCCCTTAATAAAATGTACGACCTTTTTTTAAATAAAATAGATAAAATAACAAACATGTATAATTTTCAATAGATCACATGGATATTATATAACACACCGAGACTGATACCTGAGTGTATAGTTAATAAATAGGTACTAAAGTACTAACGCAGAAACGAATTTCACCAGACACGAACAGTCGTTCTTTATCAAATACAATAATTGTTTAGTATAATAATAATAACTTATTGTAGGAATCAAGATAATGGTAATAAAAATTTATAGTAACAGTTTGGTTCCCTCTGCAATTTATATTGGGTACTAATATTGTATACCTACTTGTTAAATCTAATTCTTTTTAATAATAACAATAATGAACAAAAAATCTAAAATATGATAATTTGTAAATTATCTATTGTTCTGTATTAGACATTTGTAATTAGTACGTTTTATGAAATATGAATATTTAATTATTCATATTACAATTAATAAATAATTTAAATTAAACTAAAGTATCAAAATTCACATAACCTTTATTACTTTTTAAGTCAAAACATGTATATTTAGACTTAACTTTTGTATTAGGTGTATTAAGTGTTGAGGCATACAGTCTAAGTACAGGAATTTGGACTTCTATTCCAGATATGCATTCATGTCGACAATTTCCAGGTAATTACTCTTTAAAGAATTCTAAATGATTTTATGAAATAATTTTTATTTAAATATATCTACCTATTTAATTAAGATACATTTTTCAATACCTATAGGACTTGCTGTATTAGATGGATTATTGTATATCGTTGGTGGAGATGACAGAACTTCTACTTTTGATTCTGTAGAATTTTACAACCCCAAGACTAAAACCTGGACCATGGTCACAACATCTTGGAATGATGCACGAACTGCAGCAGTAATTGTAGAATTGAGAATTTTGATGTATCTAAGTCAAAGTTTGAACTAGTAGTTCTTGAGTTGTATAATTTTGTGTATTAAGGATAATATGTGTATGGTAATGGGTTAAGTAAATTTGAAAATTTTTGTAATTACTATTCTATATCTATCAATATAAATAAATTTTAAAAATGATCCAAGTATAATGAATACTACATTTAATATTACATAATTATTATAGTTTATAGTTTTGTAAAACTATATTTAAGAGGACACTACACCCGCAGCCGTCTTACAAAAGTGTAACATACCAAATTTACTCTAAAAAGTTAATGTTGTATGCCATCAGCTTAAAAATGAGAATAAATCAACCTTCTATGAAACTTGAGTGTAAGAACATTATCTTTGTTTGGTTGAAAGTTTTTTTACGATAATTTAGTTTTTAAGTGAATAATAAATGTAAATTAAAAATGCTCATAACTCACTTAAGAGGCTGTCAGAGCACTACTCGTTTTCTCTCTCTGGCTCACACGCAACATAGACAAAACGCATTTACGCAAAATCATTTTTTCTATGTGTTTAAGTAACATCGTCCATTACAAAAAAGATATAGAATAATACAATAATACATTTAAAACAATTTAAACATCATTTAAATGTACGACATTTTTTTGTTTATTTTGAAAGTCGAATTCAAATAGTCAAATAACAATAAAATATATAATCGATATGTCATTCCCCCAAAACTATTATTTTCTATCTTTTTTGCAATGGGTGATTTTACTATAAGATTACTTAAAAACATAGAAAAAATTATTCTGCGTTTATACGTTTTGTCTATGTTGCGCCAGAGAGAGAAAACGAGTAGTGCTCTGATAGGCTCTTAAGTGAGTTATGAGCATTTTTAATTTACATTTATTATTCACTTAAAAACTAAATTATTGTAAAAAAAACTTTCAACCAAACAAAGATAATGTTCTTACACTCAAGTCTACCTAACTTAAGTTAAAATGTATATATTGTAAAAAAAACCATACAAACACAGACATTCTTACCATTAATAAAATATTAACATTTGTCAAAAATGTTAAAGTAATACATTGTTATTCAGTTGACGGTCACCAAGGTTTTGTTGTAGTATAAGTATAAATTAATAAATAAAAACACAAGACAAAATTATTATGAACAGAATATTGTTTAATAAGTACTCTGTTAAAATGTTACAAATATCTTAAAAATAATAAATGCAAGATGTTTTATTTAAAAAAAAAATATGTAATATTTATATTACAATCTGTAATAATTGTATTTAAATGATGGCAATTTATTTTTATAAAGGTAGAGAATAGAACATTATTATTAATTGGTCGATAAGGTCAGTAAATAATCCTGTTTCCATGCACATATTTCAGATAATCTAATTGTTCCGGGGTAGTGCCATTTCTGATGTAATATAACGACAAGATTAGACGTTTTTGCATACGTATGCCAAGCAGTCTAAATGCCGCAGCCTTGGAACACATACTTCTACCCCATAGCCAGTATGGCCGTCGCGTAGAAATACATGGTCCAAGGCTGAGGCATTCGACATTTAGACTGCATGGAATACGTATGTAAAAAAGGTTAGTCTTGGAGTGGGGCAGCTACATGATCGGGTAATTATATTTCTGAAGTAGGTACGCACATGAAAATGGATTTGTTTTGGATTAAATTACCATAACGACAGCAGAAGGTGAAAACAACGGATCAGGTTTGAGATTGAGCGCGTTACTGCCGGCCTGGCTGCTCTTGAACGCTCTTCAGTCCGTATCGATTGACGTATGGAAAAACTGTAAACAAAATAATAAAATAAATACATTTTTAGTGATCTAATTGGCAAACGGTTTTGGTGAGCACCGAGAAGTCATAAATGCAAGTAGGTAGGTAACGTTAAAGGCTCAGTCAAACAGAGAGCGAGCTGTCATGGTGTACGGGTCAGCAGACCTCTTCCCGTTTGACCGAGCCTTAACATGAGAAAACGTCAAAACACTAAAATCCAACCGTAATGTCGTGAGTGTCACGGATATACAAGAGAACAAGACGGGGGACTTACTTGACTTTCCACAAGGTGATCAAAGCGTTCGATAATCGAAAATCCGCACCGAGGTTGAGTGCCATCGTGAACGCTCTTCCGCCCACATCGATTGACGTACGGAAAAACTGTAAACAAAAATATATAATAAATACGTTTTTAGTGAAAAACAATCCAAGTAGAGTAGTTTTGGTGAGCACCGAGAAGTCATAATATTACGAGTAGGTAGGTACGGTCAACAAGACAAAACGCCGAGTTACTAAAACCTAAGGCCCGTTTCACATGGACGCGTATCATACGCGACGTATCGTACGCGCGCGTTTTAATTTACATTGGTCAAATGCATACGCGCCACTCCGACGATGGCGCGTTTCCCTCGCCGGTTTGGCGCGTATGAACTTAATCAATGTAAAATGGAAAACGCGCGCGTACGATACGTCGCGTATGATACGCGTTCATGTGAAAAGGACGGTAACGACAGGAGCGTTACGGACGTACGAGAGAACGAGACGGAACTTACTTGGCGTTCGTTTCAGCACGCGAACAAAACCGTTCGACAATCCAAAATCCATACCAAGGCTGCCGCCGCAGTACAATCGCATTAATCGCACGACAACCACTCCGATGCGAACCGAACGACAAAATGCAGACGACGACAAAGAACGGGAGGGAAGCTGCAGCAGACCACGCAGCGAAACAATGGTATTTTCGAGAGCCAATCGCGAGCCTCCTTAGCGCGTGCCGGCTGCTCGATAATAAAATATGCCAAGTCACAGACTTCTACATAGTAGCAAATACTATATACGACAATACGGGACACTTACTACTGTAAAACCTGGCGACCGGACTTATCAATTCCCCCCGAGATTGATATTAAATTGCCTAACTTTACTCCTTAAAATATGATAATACTTCCCACCATTTTTGAAGTATACTAAGTATTACGTATACTGTTAATTTTTTATCAATTAACAAAATTCATAAGTTAACGGCGTAGTAATTACTTTTAAGTTGTATTACTTTTAACTGTTTAAAAATGGTGTCCAAAAAAGTATGCGCAATAAATCATTGTAAAAATGATTTAAGTGGTCAACAGAGATTGTCTTTTCATTCATTTCCAAAAGACGTTCATATGTAAGTATTTGTTTATTATAAAAATCACTCTTAAATCATAATATACTAGAATTGTTATTGTTTATAATATTACAAATTACAGTTCTCAAAAATGGGTTAAGTTTGCAAACAATTCAAGAATAAATGAAGTTATGAGAACTTTTGGACATTTACATCTGAGTTTAAATTATAGTATTTGTTCAAACCATTTTAACCCAGAAGATTTTGTATCAAACAGGGGTTCTAGTAGAAGACTGTAAGTTATACATACCTATATATATAGTATTAGTTTTATATTATCAATGTTTTGTTTATGAATATTTTTTTAGATTGAAATATGGTGTAGTACCTTCATTAAATTTACCAGTTACATCTCCTCCTTTAGCTAAACCATTGTTGAAAAGTAAGGGTTTGATACATTTGATTATAAAATATATACCTACTTATACCTAACTACTATAAATAACAAACAATTGTTTTTTAGGTTTAAAATTAAATTTCAATAATATTATTGAAAATAGAAAGAAACAAAATCAAATACACAGTCCAGTATTTTCTATATATAAAAAATTTGATCGTTTAACAACTCCTAAAAAACTCACAAGTTCAAAAAAAAACATTACCACAAAAGTTTCCGAGGAAAATAGTTTTTTAACTGAAGAATGTAAGATGCATCAGAATCCAGTAAAACGATCACTTTTTGGATCAGACGTAGATGCATCAACATCAAATTTAGCAAATATGTTACCAAAAGATGAACATAATATTATGGATGAATCTAAAGCAGGTTTGAATATTTATAAGATGTTTCATTTCCAGTCTGGGACATGGTTTGTGTTGTATTTTTTTGTAATATTGTATTAAAATGTATTTACTACTAATTGTAAGAATAAGTACTAGAATTTAGATTTACAAGAGAAAAAAATTATTTACTCAGACGTATGTAAATTGCTATTAAAATAATAATCATAAAATTATTATTTATAAATGTGTATTGTGAATGTTTTGTGGATAAATGTTACATAATTACATAAATATAATTGTTATATAATATTATATATTAGTTTTGTCTACGATCTTGGTTTTGTGTAATGGTATATTGGTATGTTATGCATTATGTTGGTTTAAGTGCTTTTTTTTCTTGGTCAACTTTTGATTTTATCTTATAATTTACTATTATGTTTTTTTTTCATCATGTTGATGTCACCATTTTTAAAAAAAGTATCTTATGATTTAATCATAACTGAGTAATGAATACATACATACATTTTTTGTTTTAGAAGTACTTTCTATGTCTGTTAAAACAAGAAATATTGTAGAACATCAAGAAAGTATGATCCAACAACTGAAGGTTAAGTTAAGAAATGCTCAGAAATTAATATGCAAGGGTAAAAAAACAATATTAAAACTGAAACAAAAAAATAAAAAAGAAGTGTATGACAAAAAATCCAAAATGGATAAATTTTTAAGATCTAACATGATAGCTAGGACTGAATTTCGGTTAGGTTAATTGAAAAAAAGTGCAAAACGATACAAAGAAACAGAAAAGTCATTTGCGCTGGGTCTATATTACCACTCGCCTGTAGGCTATAAATTTATGAGATCATACCTTAATCTACCTGCTGTTAGATCACTGAGGAGATGGTTGCAGGGCTTAGATGTATCATGTGGTATAAATGAAAACATTCTGAATATCTTAAGTTTAAAATTTAAAACAGCTCCAATAAAAGAAAGATTAGTTTCAATAATTATGGATGAAATGTCATTAAAAAAATTAATATCATACAATTCACAGAATGATATATTTACTGGTTTTGAAGATTATGGTTCAAATATTTTTGAAAATCAGTTGTCACTAAAACATGGTAATCAAGCGTTAGTTATAATGATTAAAAGCCTTGTGTTACCATGGAAACAAATATTAGGATTTTTTGTTTCTAGTGGTCCTGTATCGGGTGATCGTCTTAAACAAATTATGATACATACTATTCAAAAACTAATAGAATGTGGTTTGATTCCAAAGGTTATAATTTGTGACCAAGGATCAAATAATATGAAAATGCGAAAATTGTTTGGAGTGACAATGGAAAAACCTTACATCACTTATAATAATGAAAATATATTTTTTATGCACGATCCTCCACACTTACTAAAATCTGTTAGGAATAATTTAAAAAAATATACTTTTACAAATGGACATGAAAGTTATTGTTGGAAAGATATTGAAGACTTTTACAATATAGATAGTAAAATTAAACCACGATTAGCAAGTAAATTAAAAAAAATTCATATAGAGCTTCCACCCTTCTCACCCATGAGAGTTTGTTTAGCTGCACAGACATTTAGTAACTCAGTTAGTGCAGGAATTTTAACATTAGTTTCATTTAATCGTTTGAATAATAAATCAACATTTACTGCAAAATTTGTTAAATTTTTTAACGACATATTCGACTGTTTTAATAGTATTAAAATGAGTGAATCAGTTGTACTTAAAAGGCCAATAACAAGAAATTCAAAACATTGGTCATTTTTAGAAGAAGCTCAAATATTTCTTTCAACTCTTAAAGTTAATAATAAACGAAAAAATATCCCCCCTTGCATACTTGGTTGGCAAGAAAATATTAATTGTATTAAACTCTTATACAATGAATTAAACATAAAATATGAAATTGATTATTTATTAACCAGACGTCTAACCCAAGATTGTATTGAATGTTTATTTTCAATTTTAAGATCAAAAGGAGGTAATAATGTAACTCCAGATGCATCAAAATTTTTTTCTGCAATTCGAATGTCTATGTGCAACATGTTAATTAATCCATCTAATAATGCAAATTGTGAAAAAGATGCATCAAAGTTTTTAGCATTATCCAAAGACCTAAGAGTAAAGAATAAAGTACAATTGCATAAGTTGGCTGACAGTGATTTTGATTTTTCCAACAATTATGAAGATTTTCTTAGCAATATGAATATTAACTACATTCTTATGGATAACGAGACAGCAAATGGTATAGCATATATAACAGGTTGGGTTTGTTCTCAATTAACTCATAAGGCTTGTGTTGAAAAATTGGCATCCAGTAACAAATCTGAGAATAGTGCTTCTTTCAACATAGATAATACCTTAATCAATATGAAGGAATACAATGATTGTAATTTATTGTACCCTTTTATAAAAACACTTGAATATACAAAGCATATAACTGCATTATTCAATTCATCAATTGAAGAATTACTTTTTATAAAAAAAGAAAATATTAAAAGAAATCAAAAAATATTAATTAAAACTATTTGTAAAAGATATACATTGGATATTTGTGAAAACTGTGAAGATACATTTGTTGATAAGTATTTAAATGTCAGTATAAATAGTTATGTAAAAAAGTGCAATGACTCTTCTGTACCATATAAATATTTAAATAATAAAAAGTTAAAAAAAATTACTCATATTTAATATGCCTACCTAACATTATGTTAAAGTTAAATTTATTTTGTTAGTAATTATCAGTACAAATATTGAAATATGTAAATAAAATGTAGTTATACTCTTATACTTTTCTTATTTATTTTATAAAATTTTATTGAAAAAGAATTACAATAAAGAATAAATTATAGACACAAAACTTGTATTTTTGAATGAAATATTATTAGATCGAAGCAATGCAAAAGCAGTTTCGTCACCGACTCCCAGATCAAACAGATGAAAAAAAAAATGGAAATATATTGAAACTAATGCAGTAATAATTAGTTGGTATAAACATTTTTTTTCATATAATATAACATTTATTTTTAAGGGGTAAATTACGGCAACCACAACTACAATCTCGGGGGGAACTGATAAGAACTGGACGCCAGTTTTTACCATAGCTGTCCCGTATTGTCGTATATAGTATTTGTTACTACTTACTGGTTACGAATGCCCCCCCCCCCAAATTATGCCGCTGATCGTGTGTGTGTGGAAACTTGAACACACAACGTAAATGTTTACGTAATAATATTATATTATTCCTGGTTAGCTAACTGTAGAGGGCGCCACCATAATACGGTACCGGCTGGACGGCGGCACATCCACAGCCCTGCCCATGCCGAAAGTCGTCGAAACACGATACAGAGCCGGTGGCCCCATAGATAATATAAGAATTCATATAATATTATCTATGGGTGGCCCTCGTCCGCCTAATAATATTTTCCCAACAAAAACACATCGTTGAACTCCGTGTAAATAACGAATACGATAAGCGAATTCGCGGGCAACGGCGGGGACCGCAAGTCGCAACCGCAGTGAGTGCCCAGTGTACGACCGCGACGAAAACGTATACGGAAAAGAGTGGGTAATACGGTCTCGTGCGCTGCTGCGTGAAACGTAATAACTAAAAACGGTCGAGCACAATATCTTTTTGCTTCAAAAATACTTGACTTTTTTGCAAATATATTCGTTATTATTCAACCATTTTTTCGAAAATGACAAAGGTATAATCTACAAATCATG